CCCCAAAACCCCAAAACCCCAAAACCCCTAAATTCAATGATTTATTGATTTCAAAAAAATATGGAAAGAAGGTGCAATAGTCAAGTTATCAAATTTAAAGCAAGGCCTCAGCCTGTATTTGGTGTTGGGACAACTTTTAACATCATGCATCATCATAAATTCACATATATTATGAACAAGAATCGGATACATAAAATAGATCCTAAAGTAAGTATCGATTAATCCCTGTCTCTAATAATACAATAATGCTGAAAACAAGCTTTAGCCTGATAAAAAGATGCCCACTACAGAAAATAGTCCATTTTTAGTAAAAACTATCAAAGGTGTTCATCAAGGGACAATAGAGATTCCTTCTTCATCACCCAGGAGGATTAATACCAGATCTGGATTTCTATGAAAAATCAAGCAAAAATAATTCTAAAATATCGAAGGCTCGTAACAAACAAGGAAACTTACCTGATACCATAAATTTGACTAGCAAGCATATCTCTTAGTAATCAATTTGGCTAACTTTAGCGATGATCCATACTCAAATTCTCAGAAAATGACCATCGATGACTGAAATCTCGAAGGGCTTCAGACAATCATCAATAAAATGTAAGCCAATGGGAATAATCTTTCTTTAGAGCAGTAAAAAATATTCAAAAATAAACGAAATGGTATGGCTAAGACCAGCTCCAATGAAAGAACTTTCAAGAGAAATCTGTTCTACCATAACAATCAATGAAGTAATAATAGAGGACACTTTATGCTATAGTTAACTTACAACCTAAGAGAAAGCCTGAGCTTGATCATGACATTAATTCTTCAATTTCAACAGGCCTTCACAAAATCCCAATAATGCACAATAAACTTTCATCTGGTCATTCTGAAGATAAATCCCACGATGACTGTTCTCCAGTTTGCTTGATGAAATACGATCCTCAAATATTAGACAAAAAGCGCTTTAAAAACTACAAATGACCGACTATATTCAATGCTTCAAATAAAGATATAAGAAATTCAACTTCGATCAACAGTTTCTTCCAGAGTAGAAAAACTGTAGCCTTTCGACATAAAGGAGATATTATCTATTCAGACACTAAAAACCTAGATTCCTCGAATAAAACTATTGGAAGGGTTGGATCTAAGAAGATAAACTTATGAGGAACAGCACATGACCTAGGTAAAACTCTTGGGAAGTTTGCTAAATTCAGAAATCTACTCCCTGACTCAGCAAAACCCCGTGAAACCAAAGTTGTTCATACTAAGATTGCCCATACAAAACTTTCATCTGCTAAGAAGAATAAGAGTGGAGATACCTGAACTCCAGAAAGTCTTTATATGCTAAATGAGCTTAATGAGGAATCCGTCAGTTGCATAGCGAGGGAGATCATTAAATAAGTCCAAGGTAAATCCCCAGTTATTATACTTTAGATCAAAGAAAATATTCCTTTAAGACAGAATACTGAGACTCGGAAGTAAAACTACAGGCTCAAAATCATCTCATGTACGGTTTAAAAGTTTAAAATCCATGCCAAAGACACTCTCTAAGAAGCATTTGAGAGTAGCTAAGAATCTAAGTCGTGAACATGCACCTATGAAACTTAATAATGATCCATATTCCACCTCAGTTTTGTCTCAAAGTATGGATCGAGGGAAGAAGTCTAAAAATAGCAACTTAGATATAAAGGATCTCTCTAAAGATGATCTTGATCCAGGTTCCATCATTGCTCCAAAATCAACTCAAAATATCCAAAAGAGAGTTCGAATTGAGGCAAAGGATCGTTCTGGCACAAACTCTGACATCATAGATCCTCTCAATATTAAGAAGCAGAATTTTATACTAAACCTTCGATTATTGCCTACCAGAGAGATGGCAAAGACTAGTTTCTGAGTTATCGGAAATAACAGGTACATCATGCTTTGAATGTAGTTAATGCATGTATAGTAAACCAGAGAGAATCGACCTTAGTAGTTCTACACTTCCAAAGAATAGTATGAACAGTAAGCTTTTGCGCTATATTTCAGATATAAAACATTCAAAAATCAGCAGATTATTACAGAACAGCACATCAAAAGGAACATTAAATTATGGGCTTTGCAGACAAATTAATGAGCAAGTGTTGCCTAAATCAAGATCTGTAGATCCTACTGGGTCTCTTTCTGCTGAATCTGAGGACAAGTCACTTAGTTTTAATGGCCCACAGGGTATACAGAACATTGAGTTTATTCGAAGAAACCCTCAATAAATATTCAATCCTACTTATGCTCTAGGGGTTTTGGGGTTTTGGGGTTTTGGGGTTTTGGGG